TTATCTCGCGTTTATTCCTTAATTGAATTAATATACTTGAAAGACTTTATTTTTTTTTTTGCCTTATTTTATTATTTCCCACACATTATAGAATGCGTAGAACTGGGTTAGTGGGAATATTTCGAGAGTACTTATAAAAACGGATTTCTCGGCTTTGTAACTCGATATTTTTGAGTGTCTGTGTGTATGTTTGTTCAATTTAAATCAACTAATCCATGTTAGATTTGCCGAACGATAAACATTGAAGGACAAAGGTCTAAAGTTTAATATTAATGCTGCTTAAATTCCTTTTTTTTCGTCGCCGAAAAACAAAATTAGAATATGATCTCACTGCCCAATTGTTAATTTTTTTAGCCTGCTGTGCTAATAGTTAAATTACATGAGAGATATAACGCTTAATATGAAAACAGATATAGCTTTTTCCGTTAAATTTTTAACTTCAATTTAACTCTTCCTTTAAAGCCTTCAAAGACAAGAAATGGTAAGAGATGTAAGCTTGTAAATTAAAATTCTTCTACATTGCACAAAAATTTTTAAATATAAATCCATTTACGTTTTAGTGGTCAATTGATCAAGTTACTTCTTTCAATTAATTATTATTTCTATGTAAGGTCTTAGTTAATTAGTTAATTCTTTCTATGATATATAAAGTAAATAGAAGACCCTCCACCCATCATGGAAGGCCATACGATAACTTACAATTAAATTTGAAAATTAAATATTAAGTTATAAAATTAAACTTAAATTAAAAATAAAGGGTTCTTCTTTTAATTTGAGAAGTTTTAAAAATATAGAATAATTACTTAAAAATATTACATTTTTAACATTCATTACATTTAACATACATTCATTATATTTTTTTTTAAACCGGGAAATAAGCTTTACATGCTGATATTTCAAACCATCTCATAAGGTATTTAATGTTTTAAAAAATGTTTACTTTGCAATTAAAAAGGTTTTTTTTAGATGAAAAATCTTAATTTGAAATTAAAGAAGGTTAATTTGTAGTTAAAAATGATTAAATGATTGAAAAAAGCAACACAATTATATACAATCAAATGATTCTTCTATTTCTAAATCCAGATTTTTTTAAATGTATGTAAGATAATTAATCGCTTAAAATCTCGAATTAGTAATAGAACAAACATTTATTTCATTTTAGTTTTAATTAATTTTCAAAAAAATTTTAGGGACCTATTATTTTCATCTCCTCAGTTTTTTATTGCTTTAAAGAAAGAGTTAATATGACATTTAAAAAGTCAATTTGAAATTAACAATGTATATCTAATGTATCTAATCTAAATGTATGTCTAAATTTTCAATTTAGGGTGAAAAATGGTATTTTGAATTAAAATGGGTTAATTTTAAATTAAAAGGGCTTTGAAATTAAAGACGGTTAATTAAACGATAGAAATGTTTAATTTTAAGTTAAAAAGGGTCAATATAATTAAATGTAGAAACAAACAATTTTTGGATTTTTAATTCCAGATTTTAGGTAACATAGTCATTTCAATTCTAGAATAATCATTTATTACATTTTAGTGTAGTTAATTTTCAAGTAGTTTTTTTAGGGGCCAATTCTTTATATCTCCTCGGTTTTTTATTGTTTTAAAGAAAGAGTTAATTTGAAATTTAAAAAGTCATTTGAAGTTAAAAATGTTCATTTAGAGTGACATGTGGTTTATTGAGATTAAAAAGGGTTAATTTGTTATTAAGATGGTTTTGAACTTAAAAGGGTTAATTATAAGACACAAATGGTTAATTTTAAGTTAAACATGGCTAGTTTGAAATTTTGAAAATAAAAATGGATAATTTGAAGTTTAAAAGGGTTAATTTGGAATTAAATATGGATAATTTGAAGTTTAAAAAAGTTAATTGAAATTTAAAAAAGGTTAATTCTAAAGTAATAAGGATTCATTTGACGAAAAAAAGCTATACAATTTAATATAAAAGCAAACGATTATTCTATATTTAATTCGAGCTTTTAAGTGACCAATTATATTATCTTTCAAAAAATCTAGAATTAAAAGTAGAAGAATCATTTATTTTTATATTTAATTGAGTATAGCTTTTAATTTTAATTTTGATTAATCATAATGTTTTAATGAATTAATCTTTAAGAGGCCATTTTTTATCTCCTCAGTTTTTTATATTTTATTTAAAAAAATAGTTAAATAACAGAGTTAAAATTAAAAGAGTTAATTTGATGTTAAAAATGATTTAATGGGAAAAGCAATAATTGGGAAAATATTTAGAACTTTTTCTGAGGTGTTTTAGTTAAATTATTTAGAAATTGATTGATAAAAAGAATAGAAATAAAGATTTAAAAAAATTGTAAAAAAAATTAATCCAAAATTATTAATGGAAAGTATAAAAAAATCAATGGATTTCCTGTTCACACATTACGATATTAATTAGCACTCTCATGATTCGTATTTGCGTATATTATAATTACAAATGATTTAATTTTTACGGGCTCGTTTGAAAATAGAGCAGTCGTGATGTACTCGCCACTGGTAACCGACACATCTTCATAAATGCCTTCCAACAGCCGGACTGTAAGTGATATTATAGTTCATCATTATTTTTGAAAAATCCTCTTGAAGGGTGTAAAACGTGTTTTTCTTATCTTTTGACTTTCAAGGTGTATTAAGAAAGCGTAACCGTCCCTATTCCGATTTTCGACCGTCAGAAGATGCTTAAGTTTTCCCTGCGGTTGACCACCGAGTATTTTTGCTAGGTTAACTGTATCGGAAGGCCTTTCATTAATAACACGTTTTGTTGGAAAAATCATGGCCCATGACCTTGTCCCGTAGCCTTGCTGCGGTGGCCGAACTGCAAGACATAAGCACACTGGGACAAATGATTTTTCAGGTCGCTGCCTCTCTGCTAATTAGCAGTCTATGAACATGAAAAAAAAAGGTTGAAACACAAATATTTAATTTTATAAACCGTGATCAGATACCTCATTGGTTGTATGTGTTTTCCCTTGATAATATTGACAGAAGATCAAGATTCAGACCCGACCGACGTTTGCCCTTTTCCTAAAAAATAAACACAAAAAGCTTTTGTCATTTCACCGTTGTACAGTTCGAATAAGACACGGATCGAATAACAAACGAACAGCGAAAATAGACCTCAACTTGTCAGTCGGCTCTTTTTTAATCCTAAGTAGTATCTGGTCAGCGGACGTCCTCGGGCTTATAAACAGCACCGGGAAATCGGTAATATCAGCGGAATTTTGCAAATCGATAGGTTTCTTCCCATAGGATAATGCGCCGTTTCCTTCATGGACGTGTCCAGTAATCAGTAATGTCAAAACCGCTGACGAGGAAGGGTTCACCAACTTGAGGACCCACTCACGTGGCAATAGGGCCGGAACGATCTTTTGTACTTATAAATAATAATATCAAAATACAATAAAGAGGTGGGATCAATTAGAAAGAAAAACCACACAGTACATTCGAGCTTTTAATGTCTTCTACATCATCAGGACTTTGAATCTAATTAATATGTAATTTAAAAGGTTAAACGATATTAGCATCAATACACCATTTTGAAGCCTTTGGTTTCCAGTACAATCATATTAAAAATTGAGATCCAAGAGCACCAGAGCGAACATAACCATTCCATAACAAAAACATAATGCCATATATGTACGGTGTACCTTTTATACGTCAAATTAACCCCTTTAAACCTCAAATCTTTTTAAATTCAAATTCAACTTTTTAATTTCAAATGAATCCTCTTTAACAATTATCTATTTTTATCTTCAAATTAACATTTTAAATTTCAAATGAACCCTTTTTAACTTCAAATTAACTATTTTTAACTTCAAATTAACTGTTTTTAATTTCAAAGTAACCTTTTAAATTCCAATTAATCCTTTTTACCAATTAACTATTTTTATCTTCGAATTAACTTTTTAACTTTCCATTTAACTCGGTTTAACTTCAAATTAACGCTGTCTTATTTCAAATTAACTCTTTTTCACTTCAAATTTATCATTTTTAACTTAAATAAACTTTCAGGTTTAAATAAACATTTTTGTCATATCAAATTAACCATTTTTAATATTAAATAGAGCGTTTTTAATTTCAAATTTTCTTTTTTTTAATTTCAAATTAACCTTTTTTAACATAAAATGAACTTTTTTAACAATCATCTATTTTTACTTCAAATTAACTTTTTTAATTAACCTTTTAAACCATAAATTAACCATTTTTCACGTTTAAATTAACCCGTTTATAACAATTAAGCATTTTTAATTTCAATTCCGTTGTACAGCTCGAATAAGACACGGATCGAATAACAAACGAGCAGGGACTTTCTTGTCCCTTAATCCCTCACATTGAGTGCCAGCATTGGCTGGTTTCTCATGTCATGTGTCCTCCCGGGTACAGTGCTTTTTGCTACAGTGCTTAGTGTTTCACCGTGTAAACAAAAAAGTTTTTTAATCGCATTTGTAATATGAACGAATATGTGTCAGGTGCAAATAAAATATTTTTAAAAAATCAAATTAACATTTTTTAACTGCAAATTAACCCTTTTTAACAATAAAACATTGTTTTACTTCAAATTAACTTTTTAATTAACTTTTGTCAACTTCAAATTAATCGTTTTTAATTTCAAATTAACCCTTTAGCTTCAAATTAACTCTTTTTAAAATCAAATTAACCCTTTTTAATTTAAAATTAACCTTTTTTTAATATTTAAACATTAAAAAAGACATCGGATGTGGTATGAAATAAAAGCGCATAAATTAAAATGACTGTATATTTGGTTAAATAAAATAATTGGGCGCTTATTGTTGGTATTTTTTTGTAAAGGATAACCGAAGTGACCCTGAAATATTGAAATATGTAGATAATAGAATAAGTGAATATGAAATTTTCCGCCTATCATAGTTTGAATAATTCATCAGGAGAAATCGGCAATACGTACATTTTTTGTTCTATTAGCCAGTTTGGTGTAATTAATTGATTTTCCATTGTTTTCAGAAGCCGTCATGTTCGTTCTTCCCTCGTCTCAGCACGATATTGGTCGCGTTGAGCCTGACGTTCAGCCTTGGCAACATCTTGAGGCTACCCAGAGTGGTCTATATGCACGGAGGAGGTATGTAAAAACACGGCTAATAAAAATAGTCAATTAAATCATAAACTTTTATAACTAAAAATTAATCAAATCAGCTGTAATATAAGTATTTCTTGCTATATCGAGGAAAATCACTAGGAGAAAATAGCCTTAGATCACAGGACTTCAAAGAAAGGAGTACACGAAGAAAAAGAGCGTTAATTTTCTTTGTTGAACTGAAACTTCCTTTTTTGAAATTATTAATAGAAAACTGGACTTACATTTTTTACAAGTCTTATTTTATCATTTGCGAAACAGCAATTACCAATTGTAAACATTTCTTCACCCAGTGGCCGGACTTGAGGGCTTAAAAGGACGCGTCTTACAAATCATAAAGCTCGAGTTAGGTGACATTGTGTGTAAATTTGCCTTGTGAGTGTTCATTGTGTTGACCGTGTGTGTCATTAATATTTGAATCTTCTTCCCTTTTTTTACGCAACTCCTTTGGCACTGACATCTTTTCCTAATACAATCAGTCGCGCGATTTCGCCACATTTGTTCAAAAATGCAAATAAGTGCCTACAAAATGACATTTTCCGTTTGGGAAGGCGTTGGTCAATAACGGCATTACGGCCAACATTTGGTTATTTCTACCTTGCCGTTTTAATTTATCTTAAAACAAAATGTATCATCCCAAACAACTGAACTTCATCTTTATAACTTCAATGTCACCTCCCATCAGCAAACATTACTTTTTTTTTTATTTTCTTATAACAATTAACATCCGAATAAGCCTACTTAACTGACAGACATTTAAGAGTCAAACAAAAAGTTCAAGAAGTAGGAAAAATAAATCTGGCATTGCCCCAAGAGTCCATTTTTCTTGCTAAACACGATTTTCCGAAGATAGAGCGGCATAGAGATTTCAACAGCACGCCTGATGAAAATTTGCTGAAGATGGGACAGGAACACGTATTTGAATTTTTTTTTTTTTTTTAAATATGGCTATTCAAAATTTATGAAAACTATTTCCTAACTATTATTGAATTCAAAAGCACAACCAAGTAAAACACGAAAAAGTAACCAAAAAAAAGGAATTGTAAAACATGAAAAACTAAAACAATTGTAAAATTGATCATCATACCAACAGCTCATCATGAAAAGTCATAAGTTCCCATCATTTTTCCCACTAAAAATAAATTAATTAAAAGTGAAATAAATTTGAGTTTGCAAACATTTTATTTAAAGTCAACATATTGACTTTAATGAAAGAATTATACATACCCCCTTAGTGGCAGCAAATAATCCAAATTGTGATATTTGTGTGGCAAGAGAGGGAAAAAAGGAAATTTTAACAAAAAGAACAAAAGAAAAAGTCAGTTCATCAACATTTTGACAAAAATAAAAGGAAAAAGTCTATTTACCAATTTTTGATAAAAATAAAAGGAATGTCCATTTACCAAAAATTTAACAAAAGAACAAAATAAAAAAAAATAATTTAATAACATTTTGATAAAAAGAACAAAGGAAAAAGTCAATTTACCAAAATTATGACAAAAGTAAGGGAAAAGTAAATTAACCAAAATTATGCCAAAAGAGAGAAGGAAAAAGTCATTCTACACCAACAGTGGCAACTAATAATATCAATTGATCCCAATTGTGAAATTTGAAAATGTCAATTTACGCAAATTTGGTCAAAAAGAGTAAAGTGAAAAGTCAATATACATAAATTTGGACAAAAATAATAAAGGAAAATGTCAATTTACACAATTTTTTACAAAAATAACAAATGAAAAGTTCAATCTGACCCAAATGTGTCAACAAATAATGTCAATCAATCCCAATTGTGACCTTAAAAAAGTCAGTTTACCAAAAATTTTACAAAAATAAAGGGAAAAGTCAATTTACCAAAATTTTGCAAAAATAAAAGAAAAAAGGCAATTTACCAAAAATTTGGCAATAGTGGCAATGTAATGTCAAACAATCCCAATTGTGACCTTTAAAAAAGTCAATTTACAAAAATGTTGAGAAAAAGAGCAAAGGAAAAAGTCTTTACAAAATTTTGACAAAAAGATCGAAGGAAAATGTCAATTACTAAAATTTTGTCAAAAATGAAAGGAAAAAGTTAATCTACCTCAATAGTGGGAAGAAATAATATTAATTGACCCCAATTGTGTCGTTAGAAAAGTCATGAATAAATAAATGTCACAAAAATTTTTAGTTGGTTTCTTCAGTGTATACTGCCATATTTGTGTAGTTATCAGAATGTTTATTCGGTGTTCAATTGCTAGTTATTTTGAAAATCAAATTATCATTTTAAAATATATTTAATAAGGATTAATACTGCAGAATATCTAAAATTTTAGGTTTTGTTTTTAAAATTTATTGTAACTTTCAAAATTCAATTTATAAGAGCAAGTAAGTAAAAATGAAGTAATTAAAAGCAATTAAAAATCATGAACTATGCTGGGATTCAAATCTAGGACTTATAGTATGGCAAATAGTCAGACAATCAATCACTCAGCCCTACCCACTACTGCAATGGTCAACCATATTTTAACAAAATAGCAAAAACCTTAAAAACCAATAAATATTTGTAGAATTAAAGTTTAATTTTGATAACAGGAACGTTCTTGATTATCTACATAGTGGTCACCATCCTATTTGGCATACCCCTGACTTTCCTTGAAATCGTTTTGGGCCAGTTTTGCCAGCAAGGGACTACAAAAATATGGAGGGCAGTTCCTTTACTCAAGGGTAATTATTTTTAACACTATCTAATGATTCGACAGATAAATTAACTGGAAATCTTTTATGACAGGTGTCGGGTATGTTAAAGTACTCTGCTCATTTTTCCTAGCCGTGTACTACCCAGTGGTCATGGTAATATCGTTATTTTTTGCCCTTTGGAGTATAAAGGGCCCATTGCCATTTCAAGAATGTGTCTCACTGATCACAAGCTTGAACCCAATAACCAAGGTAAATTTTAAAATTTTATGTTTATATAGTCAATAGTTAATGTTTTTTGCTTTTGTTTTTAGGAACAAGCAGCAAATTCAGCCAGTGAATCCTGCTTAGAGTGAGAATTTTATACATACTATATTTTATTCTAAAAAATAAAACTTTAAATGCCCATATTTCATCTATATATTTTGAACACCCTGTATTTTAAAATATTTTGTAAAATCACTTTTTGCATGTTTCAGAAAAACATTTTTGAAGTCCTTGGACAAGGATCCCATGTGGTTTGGAGTCAATGTGACTCTTCTTTTCCTTATATGGGCGTTCATCATGCTTTGGTAACTAACATTGGCTAGAATACAAAAATTAAATAATTATTTTTTCATGCAAAATTTTCAGTGTATCTCGAGGAGTAAAGTCATACAGGATATCTGCATTTTGCCTTGGGATCCCACTGATAGGTGGATTAATCGCCTTACTAACACAACAACTTACGATCGACATGAAAGGCTTGTCAGACTTATTCAAACTAAGCTTGGACCCAGTCTGGAAATTCGATGTAAGTTTTTCTTTTTTGGCATTATATTGAGGTAAAGTTATTTGGTTTATGTTTTAATTTCCATTTCAGACTTGGTATTATGCTGTTGTCCAATTTTTCTTTTCGACCCATATTGGATTTGGAAATATAACAACATGCTCTGGAAATATTTACTCAAAAAGCAATGCATTTTGGTAAGTTTTTGTATTTTCAACTGGTTATTTTTAAGTAGGAGTTTGAACCAGATAATCTTGGATTGAATAAGCTCTTTGTAAACTGATCATTCTCTAAGTTCTTATAATCTTATAGCTTAAGCATCTGTTCATTTTCACTGGTTTCATCAGCCATCTCAAAATTAAAATTGAAGCAGAAAAAAACTGACCTAAGTATGGTCAGTTTTATTCAAATGTTCTTTGATATTTTACGTGTAGTTTTAGCATTTAGTTATTTCTTTGCTATTGTCTAATCATACATTTTTGACATTTCTCAGGACTGCTTTTCTCTACATTCTCTGTAATGTGGTTATCGGTGTTGCTGGTGTATTTTTGGTATATCTTTGGCTTGGAAGAATCGCCATTTCAGAGCACCTACTCGAAGTGCCGTTATTGTTTGTCATGAACGTTATTTACAACATGGGCTCTTGCTGTTTTGGCGAAAATGGTCAAATTTGGGCCATGGCTGCTTTTGTCCTTTTGATCTTTTCAGGATTTACCAGCATGGTAGGTCTAATGTTAAATGAAACATTTCATAAAATCAATTGACCTAATTGTCATTTTACAAGGTCGCCCTTGTATACACTATAGCCGTATCCGTGAGTGTCGAATCGAAAAATAAATGGAGGTCTTGGATGATTACCGGTTTGACTTGTGCCATTGGATTTATCATCGGAGTTGCCATAATGCTTCCAGTAAGTATAGTCAAAACTGTATTTTAATGAAAATCTTAGATAATGCATATGATTAATTATTCCAGGAAAAATTAAAATTTCTTCACATGCTTGATTATTATGTGATTGGGCACATGGTCGCAATGTCGACCGCTCTCGAATTGATCGGTTTTATTTGGATATATGGAATCAATTCAATCCGCAATGATTTTGAGTTTGTTCTTGGATACAAACTCTCCAAATTTTGGAATACAATATGGTTCACCACACCCATATTCTTGGTGGTGAGTACAAAACAAAAAAGTAAATTTTTAAATCTGTAAAAACTAATAATCTGCAATTTTTTCAGGGTATTGAAATTGCTTCATTGTTCTTTTTACCTTTGACCGGCGAAGATCAGAACGCTGACGACTACTGGGTCTACCTCACAGGTTGGGTGCTATACGGATTCCTTTGGTTTATAATCGTTGTCATAGCAATTTGGCAGATATCTGCCCAAGTTGATTACAATTTTGGCCAGGTAACTTTTAATAACATTAAATTATTAAAATTTTAAATTATATTTATTGCTTGTTTGTTTTTTTTAAAGAAATTATTAAGCAGTCTGAAGCCTACTAGAAACTGGGGCCCGGTAGATCCGATTTGCCGACACAGCTGGGTGCAGTGGAGAGATTCTTATCAAGCGACTGGTGAAAGAGATTTCACACTTAAACGAAGAGGGACGAGAGATTATACACACTCGATAAAATCAGAAAACAGATACAATACAATGTCCCTTCCCCGAAACCCTTCGCAGTATGTCGTCTCGCTCCCTGATGGCGTCGACCTATCCGATCATCCCTACTGGAGAAGGGACCTTCACACTCCTAAAAAATCTAAAACATAGCCTTTTACTGTTCATTTAGAATACTGTACGGAACTTTATATGTGATATAATTTCTATTACTCCTTTGGAAAAGTATTTATTTTTAAAAAACTCTTAAGTCTTGAATAGTTTGAAAATAATGTAAGGTTTTTAAATAGACTGTCGCATTCTCCCCGGGATTGTAGATAGAACCAAAGTCTCACAAGTGTAAATAGACCCGTCAGCATAAAATTGTCCGTGTTTTTATCAAAAAGTCTTGTATATACGGTGGTCATGTCAACTGCCTGGTTGTTTTTAATGTAAAAAATGTATAATACTCAATGTATTTCATGCACTTGTAAAAATATTCGTTGTATTTACGGTTAACAAAAAAAAACATGTATGAAAACTGTTGCATAGACTTTTATTTTTTAAGCTGTGGCCAATGTACAATGAATTTCACAATTTAAATTTTAGTCATCACACTATATGTTACCTTTTTGTATTGTGTGTATATAAGCTCAAGTTATTAATAAATTATTTTTATAATTTTGTTACGTAATAAATACATATTCAAGAAGTTATTGCAACTCTAACATATGTTCTTAACAAAATACTTACTTATCCTTTATTAAAACTGAAAATTTGAACCTTATATTAAGTTTGCACATGGTTGTTAATCATCTGCTAAAAAAAGTAAAACTAATATAAATGAGACAAAACAGAAAAAAATGGTGGCTTCATCAGTAAGAGATTACGATTAGCTACAAATAAACAGTCATGATTAGAGTCCAGATTTGTATGAAATTTTTTTTATCACTTATGACAATGGTGATCAGATATTCATCCAAATCATACTTCCGTGGTGCAACAGTTAAAATTTTATTATGCATATTTTTGCATATTTGAAGAGTACTGCATAAATTTACATATATGAAAAATATTACACATTTTAAATATTTTTTATTGCTTAAAAAGATTAAATATATATTAGGCAACTAAGCACATGAGAGGAAAAAACAAGAGCTTAAAATTTGATTCAGATTTCAATTAACTTTCCAGTTACTAAGACATAAATAAACAATTCTCTTGAAATAATTGAGGATTCTATTTCCAAAACTTCTAGATGCAGTTTTTTATCTTTACTTATTTACTTTTTCTAAAACAGTTGGGTTGTAGAGAATTTAAAAATAACAAGTAGCCTCAGTACTCTTTCATATTTTCCATTAGTAAAGTTAAATTCCATATTAATTAAGTTCCATATTAGGAAAGTTAAATAAAAATATAAAATCCTAGGGGACCACAGAAGTAATTAGGGTGTCCGACTCATATAATTGCCCCGCTAATGGTTCTTGGTTCAGTACTTATTAATCCCATTTGTACTAAAAGTAGCAATATGCCTTTCCAGTCTGCTACACCTAAAGATCATTTTCCGTTAATCTTTTTCCTTCATTGATTTCATTGATATTATTCTTATTCTTATATAGATAATTACAAGACAATCAAAGAACATGGGCCCCATAGAGCATGTATTGTGAATGACTACCTGAATGAGGTCGGAATTTAGTGCTTGTAGTGGCTGGCACAAAGTCTATATTTGAACCCAATTGAACACATTTGGGACCTGCTTAAGCAATGAGAACAACAGTGAAACCCATGTCCTAACACCTTAGAAGTGTTGGAAACAGCTGCTCTTGATGAGCGGGAAAGAATTCCTCAGAATTTTACCAAAAATCTTTTTCAAGGCATGGTTCAAGGTGAATATAATCATTTTCTTTTTAAACGTCATATTTTTACAACAAAACCTATTTTTGATAGCAAAATATGAAGAAATGTAAATACATTAAAATTTAAGGGTGGTGCGTAAATTTTGTCCTCTCATGCAAGTTCATTCAACAAGGTGTCTGATGATCCTAGTCGATTTCTTTTAAAATCTATTCCCACTAAAAGTTGACGTTTATTGCAATCTTTCCTCGAGTAAAATAAAAAGTTTTTCTCTTTTTTTATAAACAAAAATGAAACGATTACATGTAATAATGCTTTTGACGCCTTGTTTAAACTAATTTCGATCATTTTCTATGAAAAAATTCTGAAAACCTTTGAAAAATTATGTAAGGCCAGCAAATAGAACATATTAAATTACAATGTGAGCTTTCTGTTTCCTACATTTTTTTCCTTAAATGCAATTATATATCATAAGGTACCAAAGAAGCAGTCGACTATCTTTGGTCATTTTGGAGCCTTGATGTTTGGGTCACTGAAGAAACCCATTTTCAAAGGGAATCAGACACAAATTCAGGGTCGCCGATATTCGAACTCGCCTGAAGACTTCTACTGATGAGTGCCATGTCAATTTAAACTATCAGAAAATTAGAGGCGATGGTAGTAATCAAACCCAGGCGAGAGTCTTACCCCTGTTTTACACAATTCAACAACGTTGCCTGGTTGATTGCTGTATGAAGACTTTTCTTGGTTGGTTTCAAGTCAGGTAACTTGTAGAATAAATTTCTCTTCCCAACGGGAATTCGGTACGATGCTTAAACTTGCAGAAGCATAAGTACTTCTACAAAAAGCTACACTGGCTACAATCCTTGTCTTATGGCATTTAGGTTAGAGACTGCAGTACTCACCTAACAAGCAGATTATCTAGGAATTGTACATTCAAAATCATTTCAATATGTATTAAATTTAAAAAAGATTTATTGACAACTAATTTATGAAACAATAAAATATTTACACCTTTTAAATCATGCTGGAACATTAAAACAATTTTCATGCGCTTTTACATTGACCATTTTTAAAATCGTTGACAAGCTTTGACCTGGGCCGCATTCATAAGTTTGAGGGAATGGCATGTCCTTAGGCCTTTCGTAAAGAATGTGCAAGGTCTGTTCCCACTTCACAGGAGCTAAAATCTGCTTAGGAAGCTGTTTCTTAATATGATTGGCATTTTGGTAATGCTTTCCGTCGACATTTGAGTGCACAGCAATAGTCGGCTCATAAATCTTTGTCTTTTTTAATGCTTCGACGAATGGCTCAATGGCAGGTTGCATGAGCGGCGTGTGAAAAGCACCAGACACTTGCAACCTTTTCATCCTCTTCAAGTTGAACTTGTCTTTATTCTCTTCTAAATATTTGATGGCCTAAAATTGATTATCTTTGAAACTAAGGACAATTTTGTTTTCTAAAATCAATTTATACCTTTTCATGGCCGGCGATGATTTTGCTATGTGGAAAGAGATAATTAGAAACACCGCAGTATGCGTTTGGAATCCCTTCAGAAATAGCATACTCCTTTGCTGATTTACAAGCAAAGGAAAGCTTAGAATCTGGACTGAACATCACCATCACCATTGCTCCTTCTTCCATTTCAGCAGCTAGCTGCATCGATTCAGCCCTGACTCTCACTAACCTTAACGCTACAATAATAATATAATTTTAAATTGAAACATTAACATTCTCTCTTTTGACTTAATCAAGGATTAAGAAATTAAATAATGGAGTGAAATATCTAAAATGTTTCATATTTTTTCTTAAATTAACTTTTTTCCTAATGAATCAATTTTATTGGATCATTACTAATTGGAGATTGTCTCTTCTACTCAGCTGTAATAAGCAGACATAAAAGCCCATGCAAATCTTAATTAAATCGTTGAAAAGCTTTATCAAACTTTCACGAATTAGCCAGTTTTAAAAGTATTTAGATTATTTCATATACCTTGTTCAAATTTGATCGCCTCAGCGAAGATGAGGGCTGTGAGTTCGCCCAGGCTGAAGCCAGCAGTAGCGCAGCAGTTTTCAATTGCTTTCGGCTTTTCTTCTTTCAGCCGCTCGAGAGCAGCAAGGGAACAGACTAGAATCGCCGGCTGTGCAAATTCCGTCCTGTTGAGCTTCTCTTTGGGACCATTTAAACAAATGTCCATCAGGTTGTATCTAAGTATATGGTTCGCCTCCTCGAACAAGTCCTTGACAGCAGGGATTTTCATCAGATTCTTTCCCATCCCGACAAATTGGGTCCCTTGGCCGGGGAATAGTATAATGCTCGTATCTCTAGGATCCACCCGAGGTCGGAAAGAGAATAAAGCCTGATTTCTCTTATCTGAACCTTGAACTTAAAAAAATAAATAAATAAATAAAGTATGCAAATAAAAGCAAAAGTAAGTATGAGATCTTTTTTTGATCCTCCAGGTTCACCATATGTGTGCGCAATAAAAGTACAAAGCCAATCTACTGGCAATTCTTGTAATTATTGGAGTGGATAAAGTAATTTTTCTACCCCAATAATCACATAAAAAAAGGTTGATGAAAACACACCTCTAGAAGAAAAAGTATTTATGTTTATTACTCCAAAAGTAGTGGCTAGTGCAATAAAATAAACTCAAAAAAGGTCCCATCTCATAACAAGAAATTTAAAAAATTANTATATATATAAATAAATAAAAAAATAAAACTAACCCAAATGCAAAATATTTTCCCAGAATCTGAAAGATAGTCGAAATCACAATGATAGCAAAACCTGGTAAACCACCAAATGATGTTTTGTCAAATAGACCAATAAACAGACAAGAGCTAAATAAATAAATTATATCCACATAATACTGATACATAATAGATTGTAAAATAACTGTAGTGTTTTTCAAAAATTTAATTTTTATCCCTCTTGTGAATTGAACAAATGTTTGAATTGTTGTTTGAAGAAAGATTAGTTTAGATGCTTTTTACAAATCTGTTTCATTCAAGCAATTGTATTTTTACAATGTTATGCTAATTTAATGGATTTTTATTTCCACAAAGGGAAAACCCTATCTCAGACTACTAGGAAAATTGTGCTTTAGGGGAAAGCACCATTGATAAGTCGTTTGTTTGGTTCATACATTAATTAATTTTGATTTGGAAGATGCAACATATCTGGTCGCCCTTCAATTTGATGGATATGTAAATTCAATCTTTGTCACAAATAATCCACACTCAATGACATAAAATACTGCAGAGACACTAACATATTTCATACAAGCGTTTTAATGCATCTGAGAGCAGCTTGATATGTTTATCGGAGTGATGGGTTCCTCACACGTTGACTGAGAAGAATTCATTGGACCCAATCTCCCATCTGTGATTTCCTCCTAAAATGCACTATTTCAACCAATTTTTAAAAAGATTGATTAACTAGGGATGAAAAGGGAATCCTTTAAAACAATTCTCTAAGAAAATGCAAATGGAAAATGTAGCAACCTGCCATTAATAACTTCAAAAGCTGGATTACATCCTAAAAAGGTACTGTTGAGTATTTGTTAGGTTTAGAAGGGTGTGCTGGACAGCTTCTTCAACAATTCTAGTGTAAACTGCACATAATTGGAGCGATAAGCAATTGGCTAAAATCACCTTTCACATTTTCACTTATACCAAGCTGTGCTCTATTAATGGGACAAACCTTGGTTACTTGAGAACTACATAAAGCACGTCCAGTTCATCGCTCAAAACCCAGATAAGAGTTGGGAGAATGGAAATTCAAAATTAAATGGAAGATGCCAACATGTAGTGGAAAAAAATTGATTAAATATGTTGACAAGTAAAAATTTTCAAAACTTCTTTATTGAATTTACCATGAAAAAATGCTGACTTATTTTACTTACAACCTTATCTAAATGAAATAACTTTAGAAGAGAAATATTATCTGTTTCTCGACTTCAAGATAATGTAAGCCAGTGAGATGATTTCTGAATTGATTCTACTTATAGCAATAAGCAGGAAAAAATACACCGAACGTTTAAAAATAAAGGCTGATGTTCCCCAAGGAAGCAATCTAGGGCCAATTCTGTATCTATTATGTACCAATGACCTATCACCAACAAAAACGAACACTCTGTATCAAGTTATGGTCTTGAAGAAGAAAGAAAATTTAATTGCTTCTGCCAAGTTTGGGAATAAGCCAGTCTTCTAGGAACTTGAGATGCCTGTAAAAACTTAAATATGACAATCTGTAGACATATAAGGTTATTTTGTCGAGATGATGACCTTAAAATAGGTCTAAAGCTTGGCAGTAACATCGGAAATTAATTTTTTCTTCAAGACCATACCTTGAGCCAGAGTGTTCATACGTGAAAAAATGGTCGGTACTTCTAATACTGAAAACTAACAGAAAACACAACTATAGCAACATTCACCAGAAGGTGTCAGTGCATAATTAAACCATTGACAAGAATAAAATTGTATAATATGTGCAACCAGAATGATAAATGAACAATGTTTGGAAAATTTAAATAATTTATTTAAATAAGTCTCTACACATTAATTTTACAAATAGAAAAATCATTATGCAACTACATACAAATAAAGTTTAATATTACATACAAATAAAAAGACCACTATTTTCATCATGATCTGAAAATAAACCAGTGCTGAAAATGAAAAGATGGTGGTTATTCTGAAATAATAAATAATATACTGCTGATAACTATAAAATTATAATAAAATATATAATATTATTAAAATATAAATAACTATAAAATTACCCTTGTATACAACAGGGCCTATAAATTAATGAGGACATCTATTGGCCCTGAACCCTTTAGTGGCATACCAAACTGCCAAAAATACAGTCCATCAGGCAATGGATTCAAAATAAATCCTTGTTGCCATTGTCTTCCAAGACAGGAGCATGCGAAAAAGCTCTTCAAATCACAATAGCAGAAAGTAATGGCAGAACAACTAAATAAAGTAATATTACTAGAATAATAGTTGGATTGCTAACTGGACAAGAAGACTGCAGAAACAGACTCGGAGAGGTGGAAACAAGCCTGTGTGGATATCACCAGGAAGAAAAAAATAGCAGACCTTTATTGGTGCAAAAACTTAAGTAGGTTAATACATTAAGATTCTTTCAACTGGGAAAAGCTCGGGCCTGAAGAACTACTTGAAAAAGCTTTGGAAAAATGTAAAGAGCCTGTTTAATAAGGAGCTTTAGACAACAATCGAGATGCACAATAGACCAATACTAGTCACCGCGTGCAGGTTGTAAAGAGGCCTTTTCTAATTTAAAAGCATTTAATTTAAATCCCTGAATAATAGAGTTCCACTGTAAAACTACCTCAATTTTCAACAAAATTTTGGACAGTACGATCAATAGTGAAGTATCTAGGTGTTTGATGATGGTTACACAAAAAATATATAAAAAGAGAGAGAGAGAGAGAGAGAGAGAGAGAGAGAGAGAGAACAGAACTGGATCTTAAATATTGACAACTGTGAGATTTCTCTGTCTGGCCTGCATGGTAATAAACCTGTAATTTGGTTGTTACCGATCATCCGTCTGCCTATCCTAGCTGTGTTGGTCTGTCAGATGTGTTTCCACATTTTTTAATCATCAATGTTTGGTCAGGGATATAAGCAGGGAGAGGAACAAACACAACCAAACACTGAAGATGGATGATGCCTAAGGCCTCTTTCAGAAAAGGCAACTCATTCATTCAACTAGTTTAACTAGGGTAGCAAAATGTTTGGGAATCTCCCCAAACCTTTCACACACAGTCAACTTGTCTGCCCAGGCAGGTGGCCAGTTGGCACCAGTGCTGCTCACGTTCTCATCCCCACTGGTGTACTCAACTCAAAAGACACTGCTCGCCATTCGTCCTTCACACCAGTCGCCTGGTTGAGTCAACTGAGGAAAGCATTACAATTGCAAGTTTCAATGTGGAGCAGTTGATTGAAAATATTTGTATTAGTCTCGTGATAAGGGACATGGGGTTTGAGGAGTATAATGATAAAATTAAAAGAATAGAAGCTTGGGGGGAAGTAGCATACCAGTATTTGCGAGAAAGCATCTGTTTCCCAATTTTATAACAACTGATAAACCCACACTTTGCTTTACTGGGTTTCCTCCTTTTTTGCTACTCTTTTTGCAGAAGGGCAAGCACAAGAAGTGCTCCTGGTTCTTCGGGTTCTAACATTGTGCTGACCTCTGTTCGGAAGAGAGGTCGATTCCACCAGTTGCCTGGTGTAAAACCAAGTCTTCACATGGCAGTAAACTAGTTGAGAGTCAACCGGCAACTTAGTTGAATCAACCAAACTGCCTCATCTGAAAGAGGCCTAAGTCATCTGAAAAAGTAGAAAATTTGATAGAATAGGCAGAACAGATGATCAAGTTACAGGTTTTGACATGTTCATCTGACTTCTCACCATCTTCAGTACTGGAACTGCGATTTCTTACTACCACCTTAAGGCGCCTACTAAGCAAATATGGGCCAACGAAAGACAGTTCGTTGCCAACACATTGGTCATCTTTGGCTCATCCTCATCAAACCAAGAGAACCATGTGGAATCACAGTCAACAACGTCAACACTTTTGATGTTACCACCAGAAGTCTGAACCTCGAACAAGGCCAACTGCTTGATTGGTTCTGATTCGCCTCCCATATATACTAAGCAAATCATGGCCAACAAAGCAGTTGCTGACTTTTGTTGGCTGAGATTTGCTTAGTATGTACGCGCCTTTACCAGAACACACAGGCAACCATTATAGTTATGCAAGACCACCGGACAGCGTTATCACCTAAAATACCTTCAGTCATGTTCTAATAGAAAAATACCTTCAACTTTTAAACTGACCAACTTTTAGTAAGAAAATATGACTGTTGCTGTTTAGCAATTTGATAGTTATGAATATTAAACATACTTTTTGGATAGGGAGACGTCGCCCAGACTTCTTCCTTGCTTTCTGTCACCTCAACTTCGTCTATCATCGAACTTTCTTCCAGCATTTCCTTAGCACTTTTGCCCTTTACATTCTGCTCAGGGGATTCGTGACTATTGGCGATGTTGCACCTGCTAAACCCTCTGATGAAGACGGATCTATAGAACGACCAAGTCCTGCATACATATTTCACCATTTTAAATATTAAATAATACGTGAAAAGGTAAAAATAGGACGAAAACTAATTTGTTTGGTATGCAAGTTCGGTGCCTGAAACCTTAACTGATTGCAGTTATCAGCCAAAGATCACGTGGCCGGACCTTAACGAACGGTTCTTTTTGAACGAACCGAGGAACTGAACACAACTTCCTTCTTAAATATCAATTTATATATTTATTTACTCGTAAAAAAGCTACAAATAGTTAAATAATTTCCAAATACAAAATCTCACAAAAAATTTGCCAATATATATTTAAAACTAAACGAATAAAATGAGAAATAAACTAATAAGGCACAAATTCAACAATAAAGAATGGTTTTACCATGTTAATTAATTCATACGCAGTCATAATTGACCTATTATTTTTTAAAAAAATTTAATTAATTTATTTATTTATTACAATCTGCAATTATTATTTACAACATGTAATTTGTGGATACATGAACAACTATATATATGTACAACTATTTACATTGAGGGGAGAAAATAGTCAGTGCTATCCTCCCTCTTCACTTTGTTTTTTGTTTTTTTTAAATTAAATTATAATTTTTATTATTTATTTCATCAATTTATATCATCAATTATCTTTTTGGTCTTCGTTTTTATTTTCTTACTGTTGCACTATTTTTTTTTTCTTTTCAGATTCTCTATGTGTTCATCGCCTTCAAATTTCTTATCACTGCTGTATTAGATGTTATGATCTTAGCCCAACATAGCCCAAGACATCATATTTCTTCCTATATATCTTTGCATTCTAAACACTAAGTGGTGAGGAGTGGTAAGGTTAGATGTATTTCAGAAAAATATATTTTTCATTTTATTGCCAACATTTCAACCGGATTATCTCCTCTTAAACCTATTCCACATAAAGTAGATATCTCTTCCATCCTGCTGTGCCTAAAGATCGCTTTCAGCTAATATTTTTCCTTCGTTGATTTCATTTGATATTATTCTTAATAAATCCATTAGGTTTCGTGGTCCGATTGACCAAATAAATGCTTTTCAACTAATTAATCTTTATGTAAGGTATTGGTTAAGATTAAAAAAAAAGTCAAAAGTTCAAATCCCGTTCGTGACCCTGACTTTTTCTCTCAACAGAAAAAGTTTCCTTATCATGTCCACGTTTCGAACTTTATTGAGATCATCTTCAGGCTCAGTGTTTATTTTCTGCGTAATTCTTGTGTGCCGTGTTGACAGTGCCACCTTAGTCTTAAGCCTTTTTCAATGGCACCAATCAATCATTCCACTGTGGGTCATTGATGTTCTGGGATGTCATTTCCTTGGCACAGAATCGGTTTTTATGGAAGGAAGATCTCTAACTCCACAGAGATAGTTAGAAGACAAAATAGAAGAACATGTGCCATTTGCCCCCCCCCCACATCTGTGATAGATTCTTGATAATGCAGGATAATGCCAGACCCCCATAGGGCATAGAGCACATATGTGGATGACTATCACAATTAGGTTGGACTTGAGTGCTTGGGGTGGCCAGCTCGAAGTCCAGAACTACATTTTTGAACACATTTGTGATCAACTTAAGCGACTTAACCAGGTCCTAACACTCTAGAAAAATTAACAACAACCCGAGTTAGTAGCGATAATGAATGCAAACGGGTAAAGTATAATTTTTTACACTTATGTTTAGCAAAAGTTATCAGCAAGTTACTGATGATAACGTAGCACGTATGCACGTGTATCATGTAACATGGCCGTTACCTCCCAACGATAATATCTTTGGTTTATTTATAAATTCTTTTTTAAAATTGTGTTTATGTTATTTTTGTATTTAATTAGTTAAATATCGCCTTGAGGAAAACGAAATGCTTCCTCAGAAAAGGTACTACAGGCAGCGGGCTCATTCGAACCCCATAGCCGACCACAGTTTCGACTACCCGGTCAGGCCTGAAGATATGGACTGGTCCCGCCTTTATTCCAAATCCGGCGAAAGGGAAATAAAGGTGGATTTCGCTGATATCGGCTGCGGTTACGGCGGCCTCCTGGTCACCCTCTCCCCGATGTTCCCGGACGCTTACATCCTGGGCATAGAAATCCGGGTCAAGGTGTCAGATTATGTCATGGACAGGATCAGGGCTCTGAGGGAGCAGAACCCCGGCTCGTATGGCAACATCGGCTGCATACGGTCCAACGCGATGAAGTACCTGCCAAACTATTTCCGAAAAGGACAACTTAAAAAGATGTTCTTTCTCTATCCGGACCCTCATTTCAAAAAGGCGAAGCACAAGTGGAGGATTATCAGCCCGACCCTTCTTGCGGAGTATGCGTATGTACTTGCAGACGGTGGGATCGTCTACACTGTCACGGATGTCGAAGATCTACACCACTGGATGGTGAAGCATTTCGTCGAACACCCTCTATTCCGAAGGATGGACGATGTAGAACTCGAGTCGGACCGAGTCGTTGCCGCTCTTCTCGATAGCACTGAAGAAGGGAAAAAAGTCTCTCGGAACAAAGGACAAAAATTTTTAGCTGTTTTTGTTAAAATAAAAGACACTTGCGATTTAAAAAAGAATTACTGTGATAATTAAGTTTTATTTATAAGTACACAGCTATTTTCAGACTTTTATGCATTGAAACATTTCATTTACTTTTAACAAAATATATTATTATTACTGTGTGGTAATTTTATATAATATTTAACAATTGATTTAAAAAAAATAAGCCTTACCTCCTCTACTGAAAATGATGGAAAACATTTCCTTTTAAAAGAAAAAAATCTACCACAAATGCTGTACATAAAAAATAAAAACTCAATATGTAACAAATAAATTACTCTATGTGGCTTCATCGATACACAGGGAGCTTTGACAACATATGATATTAATTGATCAAAGCTGCGGCCACAAATAATGGATACATAACTACAAAATACAAAAATTAGGTAGAGAATATTCATATCTGTTGTTACACTTTTCTAGACCAACTCAACATTTATTTGGAACAAACAGAGAATACAAGTCAGCCATAAATCTAACTCTAGGTGTGAGCTTATTGACAAAATGAGCATACCCCAAATGACATCAACGAAGAAGTTTCCACATTCTTCAGACGATACTAGCTTCTCCTTTACGCTGCTTCCTAAACACTTGACAACTGACTCCCCCTAGTCTCAACACTCTTCATCAGTCAACTCTCCTTACTTTGGACCACTCATTGACAGTTGACGCTATTCAACTTGTCTCTACCCTTGAATACTTTCTTTGTGTCTTGACCTGGTTTCCTCAATGTCTGATGACTGACTCCTTTCTGACCGAGTCCTTTTATTGTCCCTTTTTTTTATTGTCCAATCCAAGATGGTGGGAAGGAAAAGGAAAATCCATTGGGCCTGACGGTCAACGACTTTTTTACAAAGGCGCCATCTGCACAATACCTCATAATTCTAGGGAGCTTCCATTACACAACCCCTTGGTCTTTGGCCGATGGTCTTCTGTAGTAGGGTATAGATGTGTGATTGACATAATCCCCAATTTAAGATGACCCTCAACTTGATGCCTGTCAACTTTCCCTCAATATTATTATTTTTTTTTTTTTAATTATTTGCTTGTCATGTTTCTACACCCTTTAGATTTTTAGGAATGTTCCTTTCTTCCCTATTGAGTAGGCGAGCTGTAAGATTTACAGCCTACATTTAAAAAAATTCCTTATAACTTTTGCCTTAACAATTATTTTCAACTCATTTATTTCAACGTACATTAAGATGAGGATTTTAAGGATGAAAAGTTTAAAGTTTACAATACAAGAGGCTGTCCCCAAGGAGTGGTCACTGGTGGACGACCTACATAGGCTTTCATGTACAAGGGTATGCAGACAGCAGTTATAACACAATTAGAGGCAATTTTTTGTTTTTTAACCTTGAAATTTTAAATTTATATTTTTTGTGGATTTGCTATTACACATTGTTCTCATTCAACAATTCATGATTGTCTATTTATGGATGTTACTTTAATTATTCTACATATTCTGATATTTACATTATTTTAATTAAATAAATATCAACACAGATAAAACAATTTTTAAACAACTTTGCAGTTTGTATATTCAAACATTGGAATTATAAAACAGAAGCATTGGAATGAATTATAAAAATTATTCTTTTTCTTTTTCCTCGGTGCTTTTAACGAGCGTAAGACTGGAAAAATTCTCCGGCTGAACTTCTGCGGGTATTGAACTGCATAAAATTTGGACGATACAAGTGATTTTTCCTGTGGACAAAATATACAATAATAATAATAATATAATATATAATTTAATTAATTGAGGTTTTAAGTTGAGATAAAAACCTAAAAAAAAGTTGAGATAATAATTAAATGTTATTAATTGGTCAAGCGGACCACGAAAAATAGTGAATATAATATATAATATAGTAAGTGGTTGTCAGTTTTCTTACCTGTCCAACTTGGGTGCATTGCTTTGTAAATAAATATGTAATAAGCTAAAGTTCCAAGAGCAATGAAAATCATCGCTCCAATATACTGTGGCGCCGGTTCTAAAACTAATGGGACGATTGCCAGAAATAAAGACAAACCGCATATGAAGATTGGTATAAAAAGAGGAACCTAATAAATAGAAAGTATATTATGAAGTTTATTATTAGGGTTAACTGTATTAAAGAAATTTACTTTATAAGTCCTATTAACATCAGGTTTTGTATGTCTCATTATTAAAAGAGCAACCATTGCCAGTCCGTAAAATATCCATATTAGAAACCCAACGAATTCAATTAAAGCGGTGATGTTCCCAATCATGATAAACACTATTGCCAGAATACCCTGAAATACATTAAACAAATTGTATAATCATCGCCAGAACAGTTCAATTTTGTGCAAATTACTTGTAACATCACTGCTGGAGCAGGAGTCATTTTTCGAATATGGATGAAAGATAGGCAGCTGATTAAATGCCCTGCTCGTCCAGCGGCCAAACACAGTCTTACAAAAAATAATTTAAAAATAAAACATATAATATGATTACTTTTTGAAAATGGATTTCAACTAGAATACTTTTACTACTTTTAAGTAAGTACTAACTTTATACCTTGCAACGCCGAATTGGACGCTCATGCCACAGCCGAATGTCGAAAAGGCAACAGCAAGCGGTATGATAAATGCAACCGGTCCGAATAGTTTTTCGGCGAATAACTAGCAATAAAAAGTTAAAATTCAGAGATAATCATTACTTTCTGAAAGTACTAAACTTACAGTAGCCACGGCCGGTGATGCAATGATTTCTTGAGGGCTCAATATAGAAAAATAAGAAACGTTCATCATAAAATATAAGATAGTAATTAATGGCACACCTATTGATATGCTCATTGGAATATTTCTGAAAAAAAAAAAAATATTACAAATATACATATCATTCAATTTGCACATATGTGGATATATGTGTAGATTTGATTTTATCAATCATAATGTAATAAATAGATAAGGAAAATAAAAATGAAAAAGTTACAATTTAAAATTATATTTAAACCTTAAATTATAATTTTTTTTTTATTACATTTATTTGGTATTTACAACTACAAGTGATGTATTAAGTAAATATGTTCGTTTATGTTGAATTATCATTTGAGGCTCTTGTAGGAGAAGTTGCCCAGTGGTAACACTCCTTCACACTGATACTTGTCTTCACACAATGAGAAGGTCTCGGGGCCACTTTCGCTTCAATCGTCTTGGAGGTTTTTCAGGTAGGGTTGGAAGTGATACATTTCGTACGAATAGATTACTGTGTGCGTTTAGTGATTGATGAAATTTTTTATATCGAGTTTGGATGAGTTCGTGTACAAACGGGATGTGTAGGTCTTTATGGATAGTGTAATTTGAAACGTAAAAAGGAGCATTTATAATTTGACGGAGAATTTTAGATTGGATTGATTGGAGACGCTGGGAATTGGAATCCTTGGTTGAGCCCCACACTTCACAACCGTACACCCAGAGAGGTCTAATCATGTCTTGTAAATTAAAAGTTTACTTTCAAGGTCTAATTTTGATCGTGAGTCGAGTAGTCTTTTTAACAATTTATAACGTCGGTTTGTTTGCTGTCTTTTCAGTCTTGTATGGGGATTCCAAGTCACTCGTTTATCCATGAAAAGTCCAAGATAACGCACAAGGTCAGTGGTAGGCAATGGAATTCCATTTATATTCACTGCAGGACAGACATTTTTACGTAAGGTAAAATTGATCTGTGTGCTTTTTGTTAGGTTTACCTTTATTCTCCACTTTGTGAACCATATTGTTAATTCATTCAGGTGTTGTTGTAAGTGTTGCGTGTTAATTGAGGGGTCCGAATTGCATGTAAGAATCGCTGTATCATCAGCGAATGTGTGTGTCGAGATGTCAACGTGTGTAGGAATATCTGCAGTGTATATGGAAAATAGAAAAGGGCCAAGTATGCTTCCCTGAGGAACACCCGCCCTTATGCATATATAAGGTGAGAATTCAGTTCCCTGACGGACTCGACAAAATCGATCAGTCAGATAAGATCTCAGTATAAGATAGTACGTATGAAGGAGGATGTTCCTCAGTTTCCAAAGCAAGCCCGAGTGCCAGACTCAATCGAAAGCCTGTTCTAAATCAAGAAAGACACCCAAGCAATGCTGTTTTTGTTCAAGAGAAGAGGCTATATTGTCAGCAACATGATGTAATTGTTGAGTTGTCAAGTGAAATGTGCAGAACCCAAACTGATGATCTGGAATAATATTAGAATTTTCAATTATTGGCAGTAATCGTCGGAGAAGTAGTTTTTCTAGTATTTTGGCAAGGATAGAAATGAGACTAATGGGTTGATAGGAATTTGGAAGATCAGAAGGTTTATTTGGCTTGTGAATCATTTTAATTATAGAGAACTTCCATTGCAATGGAAAATATGTGGTCCTGAGTACAGCGTTGTATAGGTATGTTAAGAATACTAAGCCTCTGTGGGGCAAATTTTGTAATATTTGTTTTGTAATTAGATCATAACCTGGAGCTTTTCGTGAAAGTAGTTGTTTAATAGTTTGTCGTATGTCTGATGGAGTTAATGCTTTAGGAGGATAAGAGAGTTGCAAGGGGACATTCAAGTCGTGTTCAATGTTAAGCTGATGATCATGATCAAGTATGTCATGGTGTGCAGTAAAAATTGTGGAAAGATGCTCTGAAAACAATTTAGCAATGTCGGAATTGGAATTTGCCCAAGCATTGTTTCTACGTATAGGAGGCGTGTGGTCCTTATATCGTAGGATCTTACGTGTACAGTACCACAAAGACTTGTCTGTTTTGGAAAGCGAAGTAGTATATTGTTTGTACATTTCAGCCCTAAGTTTGGCCAGTTCTTCTTTCAGCTTTCTCGCGAGTTGGTTCATCCGTCGATGATCACTCGGATATCTGTTACGCTGCCAGATTGCCCTGGCCCTTCGCTTTTCAGTTAGAAGTAGCCGAATGTGTGGAGGTAATAATAACTGCTGATTATTTCGAGGTGGTGGTATGGAGGTTGACACCCATGCTGCATGCTGTATCAATTTTGTAAAATCGTCTACAGCTTTGTCAATTTCTTCTGCAGTTTTTAGAGATGTGTGTAGGTTAACATTTTTGTTTATTATTGTTTTTTTCCAATCTGTAGGTCCAGTTATTAGGCAAGGATATTTTGGTACAATGGAAGGGGCAGAATTTAGAATTAATTGAACTGGGCTATGATCAGAAGAAAAATCAAATGAATTTGAAATATCCAGATGGGTTGAAGAGATTCCGGATGTTATAAAATAATCTAATATATCAGGAAGTTTACGGGTAGATGTTGGCCAGTACGTTGGGTTTGGTGGTGTCATAACAGTGTAAGTGGTTGAGGATAAAGAGTTAAGGAAGTTCCGTCCACGTGGATTAGAAACCCGGCAACCCCACTGTGGGTGCTTAGCGTTGAAGTCACCCCCAGCAATGAAATGAGGTCCAAGTGATCGAAGAAAAGATAGGAATTCGTGTTGTGACAAATCTTGGTTAGGAGGACAATACACAACTGCAATATTCAATTGGAAGGAGGAGGTATTTTAGGTGATGGAAGTGGACATTAGTGTGTATGATGTGTTTACAAAGTGTGATAAAGTGCGACGGATGAGTTAAATTATAATGACATGAAAATTTAACGAGTTTTTAAACCAAAATATTAAGAAAAATAAATTTTATTTATATTAAAAAATATATATATATAAATTTTTGTACTAACTTTTGAGGTTGTTTTATTTCTTCAGTCACAACAGTCACAGATGTCCTAAACAAAATAATTACTACATATCATTCACCTTGATGTATGTTTTGCTATTGTGTTGCATAACTTACCAGCCATCATATGCCCACAAACCGTTGAAGATAGCTAAAACAAGATCTTTAACGTTTGTACTAGTCCCTTGAAATCCTGTTTTCAGATGTTCAACATTTCCTGGCAAATTTTTACTTCAATACCTCAATAAATAAATAAAACATTAATTAACATTTACCTCTTGCTAGACAATATATTCCACCAAAAATGACAGCTACGCAAGCGAGGACTTTGAGCGAGGAGAAAATATTTTGTATTTTTACGTATAGTTTTACACTCATGTAATTGATATAAGTTATCAAAGCTGTAACAGATGCATATATTTTTAATTGCGTTTATCAAAAAGCAAGTGGAACTTTTCAAAACTATTAGTTACAAAACCTTACTAATTGCAAATAGTGCAATCAGTTTCTTGAGAATTAGCTCTACAGAAGGAGAAAGATGTACATTAAGAGCTTTTATTATCGGAGAATAAACATATTCTGAAAAAGTTAAAACAAGGATAGCCACCTCTGCTGGCCTCACCAATAAAACTATAACCCAAACATATATGAAACTTGGGAGCGAGCCGAAAAAACGATGGAGATTTGTAAAAGCGGCTTGGAAATATGCGTACTCTGCACCAGAGCTTGGGACAACAATGCTTAACTCTGCAAACGCAAGTGCTCCTGGAAAACAGAAATTGTTTTACTTATTTTATGATAAACGGTTTTTAAAACACTCACCAATATATGATATTATGCCACAAACAGCCCAAATTATTAAGCATAACGCGACCGAACCTGATTTTTCGATTACTCTTTTTGGAGTTATGAATATACCAGACCCTGAAAGATAAAACATATTAAACTTATTATAACATCAAAGACAAGTTAATGAAAGTTAATAAATTATTGTATTAATCAATTTATATTAAATCTTCCCTAACCATCCCTATATTAAATCTACTTTTGTTAGTTAACAAGTACTAAAAAATATTGTGGGCAGTTTTAGGGTCAGCAAACTAGATTTTTTTTTTTTTTTTTTTAATAATGGATATCAGGAACTGGAAGAGTTCCCCCTGAGTACTGCAGCTTTAGTATGCAGCTAATTGTACTTCCTTCCTGGCTCCATTTTTCAGAGCACACGTATGAATTTGAGCCCCCCGGCGTGCCGGTGTTCTTCCATCAAAGAAACTTATTTTTGAAGGAGGTTGGGATCAAATTCAGGGTCGCCGAGATCTGATCCTGCCCCAGACCTTCCATTGATCAGTGCCATGTCATTTTTTTCAATTGCAGTCACCGGTCCCCTTAGGTGTTAGAAAAATAGTCCAGAGGTGTCGGTGGGAATTGAACTCATGACCACAAGTCTGACACCTTAACCACTTCGCTACCACAGTCCCCTGCCTCCTCTTACCTACTTCCTATTAATCTATTTTATTTTGATGCTGGAGCCAACTTAATACTATTGTATGCTAAGATGACTCTTTCGCCTCCCTATCCTATTGCCAGCCTTTCCCAACCTCAGTGCCTTTCTAGGATGAAATGTAAATACAATAAACACAAAAAAACGTTATACATATAATAATAGATTATATGGAGCCAGCCTTTTTACGAATGTGCACCGCGGACCAGTATTGGTATATTGCGCATTATACATGTAATAAAAATTTTACATTTAAAAACATGGTAGTATGGTTAGCCCAAGTATGAAGCCTTCTCCACTCTTGCTAATAAATTACATTCTCACTGCACAATTATTTCACATTGCACCAGCATATTTGATATTCGTTGGGTTAATTGAGGAAGGAGTCCTTTCCATTCATGCTAATAAATTGCCTCAAAGTGTTCGATATTCTTCGAATTAATTGAGAAAGAGCCTTTCCATTCATGTTAATAAATTAAATCACACACCAGACTTCATTCACACTGCCTCAGTTAATTCACGAGGAATGTCTACATTCAAAGCGAATAAATTCAAATATTACCTTTTCCCTTTTATATCTGTTTTTTCTCATCATGGCTAATTTTGCCATCATATATTTTGTTATCAATATATAATAATTATATTATACATATAATAATATATTCATCAACATATCCAAGGTTGGTGTTAAAATATTGAACTCATAAATTCACCCTCCCTAGAATCATTCTCCTAAAAGCCCTGGAGAGTGATATGTGACCAAGCCAAAATGCATAAGCAAAAGTAATAAATTGCAAGGCTAATCTCTAATACAAACTCTGGATATAAAAAGAAAAACAAAGGAAGAGGAAGAAAATTGGTAAATTATTTGTTTATTTAATGGATAGTTTTCCATATTTAAAAGTGAAATTGTTTAAATAGCTTAAAGTGAAGAACAATTTTAATTTAAAAATTAGCTTCGTTAATAGAGTTGTTTATTTCATTGAAAACAAAACACTTACCAATCATAACACTGACAATTAGTCCGACAGCGCTAAAAAGGCCAATTTCTCTTCTCAACATTACTGTCTTAACTTTTTTGGCCTTTTTTTTTTGCACTTCAGATACCTTATTAGATTTTGTAATCTCCTCGCTATCTTAGAGGAAAACGAAAATTTTATTGTTTTGAATAAGTCTCTGACAGGCATTTATTTCGTTTATGCTTACCCATTTTGTCATCATAGATCGGAATTTCCTCCTCTGGTTTCATCTTTTGCTGCATCGCCTGTAATTTAATTATTAATAGTCAAAACCATGCATATTTTTGCTACAATTTTAACAAATGTAAATGTCATTTTAATTATGTATTATACCGTTATTTCTGCAGCTTCTGGCTCAACCTCTTTGTCCAGTACCTCTTGTTTATTTTCATTCATCTTTCTAAATCAGGTAGATATATCTTAATAAATAAAAAAAAGAAATATTGAATGTACCTAGCATAGGTACCAAAGAAAAAATAAAAGATAATCTTCATTAAAAATTACTGAATCGTAGAAATCTAGCTTATCTGCAAAAATGAAAGAAACAAAAACTATCACTTACCTGTTTAAAAAAATGGTTAGATGTTCAAGCACAAAAATGGAAAACTAACTGAATAAAATTGTTCAACCAATTAAAGCCATTATCCTTCAAAAGATAAGCATATCTCAAAATTATGCAAATCAAACTATTCCAAATTTTATTTGGATATTTCTTTTAAAACTTTCTTGCTTTTCAGATGATTTGTGTGAGTCAATGTCAGGTGATTACTTCGTTCTTCAATTTTTACTTTTAAAAAATCTATTAGTAATTAAATAAAAAGCAGCAAACAACAACATAAAAGTATGCAAAATATGCTCTAATTTAAAATAAAACACAGGACTGCAAATATTCTTTTTTTTGCAGATATTATAGTATCTATTATTAATCATTTAAAAAAAAAAACTTATTAAAAAATCATTAAAGATCACACTGTATCTGTTAGAGACTGGCTGAAATGATTAAGTGTAATGCAAAAGAATGAATCAGTTTATCCAATTTGATCCTTAATTGATTCTTGACCTTGCGTACAACCACTTGTTACAAACAGTGAACAGTTGAATATAAAAGAAAAACATGATCAATGATGGTAATTAGAGTAAAGTAGATGTTAATAAAAAAAAGTAAGAATTTAAAGCTAACAGATGGAAAAGCATAAAGTTTGTTGTGTTGTTGAAAATGAGAACTGAAACAAGAAAATAATTATTCTGCACAGCAGCAAATCAGATAAATTTAATACTGACCAGATGATCAGGCTGAGTAAAGCTAAATATTTTTAACTTGTCTACCCATACAGGTAATAAATCAGAATAATATTGATAAACAATTCAGCCACAGATTTTATTCTGGAAGATGCTGAAATGGTGAAACAAGTCTGACAGACCCAGCAAGGATAGGCGGACCAAAATTGTTGGTAATGATAAAATTTTAGATCCATCTTGGATAAATTACATGTTTAATCTTATTTATCTTTAGAGGGGGAATGAGTTTTTTCCTGATTTCTTCCAACTTTGCATAAGACTTAGGAGAAGATTATCAATAACCAAATTTTACCCCAGTAACCATTTTACTTGTCACGCACACTCTTAAATATATTTTTCTTAGTTCATTCATACCTCTATCACTTTTTTACATATATAACTAACCTAATTGATGGTCGATAGGGTACTCAATATTCTGCCATTAGCCCTCTCACACTACACATTCACACCAATAAATACATTCACTCTTGACACACAACTGTCATAACTACAATAAGACAAGCCTTGTAACAATAATAAATTGTTACAAATAATTAAGAATATGGGGAAGTATTCGGGAAGTTGGGGGAACGATGGGCTTTAAAAAAAGCTCATTGTGACCGAGGATGTTGGGAATGTTCCTCAAAAATCCAGAAGGATCTAAGAAGTTGTGGAAAAATAGCAGGTCGGTACATATAGGGGGCTGACCGGCTGTTCAGAAGAGATGTAATTTGGAACTCAAGTGATGGTCATCGAAGACTTATAAGGTTAGAGTTTATATTTCAATATTTAATTTTTGATTATTAAGTCTATTTAATTATTTTTGATCATATTATTTTTTTTAAGAAGGAATTGTAGTTGTAGAGCAATTTTTTTACATTTTGTTTTATTGTAATTAAATTTAATTGTGCATAAAGTTTTTACAAATTGTAAATTATTGTGTTCGCAACAGCAGAGGTCATATCAACCCTCAGGGTGCTGGTGTTTTTGAAAAAAAAAAGCCCATTTGTAAATTTGTCGGGTTCAAATACAGGGCCGCTGGATCGAACCCGGGACCTTTACCTTACAGTGATGAGCACTGTTCAACACCTAAACCATTGCGGCTACCGACACCGTACAAAACAATCCTTTAATTAGTTATTCTCCCTTTCTTAATACAATTCCTATTTTCTGGATCCCCTAAATTCTTCCTTTAAAAAATTAATTGGAAAAGGAGACCCAGATACTTGCTGTCATAATCAAGCAGAATTCTCATTCCTTCATGATCTATAGAACTAAAATATATATATACATCTACACGAGCAGCCTTTCTTTTCACTCTGGATACATTGTAGGCAAAAGTAAGGGTCCATTAAACCTCGCTTATTCTTAATCAAGTGAGGATGACCCTTCTTCTACAACTCAGATCCTCTGGCCACCTATCGACAGTGCGAGCACAACTCTTGCAATGCGAGAGCTTCTCAGCCGATCCGAATGCTGCCACTTTCATTTACACATGTTTTTTTATTGCATTTTTAACACCGTAATCATTATGTCCAGAGGTTGGAACTTCATCTGTCGTTTTGTTATCCTCCTGATCTATGTGTACGTGTGCAGAAAGTAACTAAGTTATCATTAGCCATGTAATTTTTTTATCGTATAATACATCACCAGGAGGGACCTCGAGTCCTATATTGCATTAGATAATAAAAGTTACTACAAAAATTGAACTGGTACCAAAATTCTAAAGTTTAAAATTGAAATCCTGAAAAGTTGTCTTTTTTCATTTAATCGGTTTTGCCTTGAAAGTGAAGAAATGAAGGCAAGCACAAATATCGAACAATGAAATATTCTACTTTATTATTTTTTTTTTTTTTTACAATTGCCGAAAAATTAGATAATGTTTTATTGTAATTTTCAAACTAAAACAATAATTTTTATTTAGTTATTATTTTTTTAAGTTAAAGAGAATTTTTCTATGTATTTATTATTTTATCGAGTTCTCAATAAAGCATTTACAATTAAATAGTCAGATAAAAAGAAAAAGTTCATATTATTATTATTATTTTTGCCGGCTTGGGCAGAAAGTGAAAGTGGACCAGGGATGCAAGACCACGTGCCCTTGTAATGTATAGAACCTTCCTTATTATCAGTTATGTTGTGTTATGTTATACGTATGACCTTCCTTGCTGGGATTGTCGACTATTTCTAAATGAGACAATAGTTTTAAGTTTAAAGCAAATAACTGTAAACTGTCATCAATTACCAAGTAACAATGAAATTCATTTTTAAGAACGTACCAATGTCTTCGGCCAGGCATGGAGTGCTTTCCTCCTTTTCGAAATTCCCGGAAAAAATATTCGAAACGCCTCTTCTCTTAGTCAGCACAAAGGTAAAAGGCCTTTGTCGACAAAGGCTAAATAAACCCCGCATTGCTTTTATTTGAAAATATTTTTCTGCCCTTGACCCACTGTTTACCCCACTAAGCTAAAGAATTATATTCCTTAGTAATTACTTTTGTTCGCAGGGTGGCAGCGTTCCTCACATCACACATGAAGTTCTCCAGCTTATTACAAAGGACAGTCACATAATGCAGTTCCCGTTACCGTCAACAATGCTCAGCCATGAAACCGTCAAAGAATATGCCAAAGGATTAGCTCATTTTTGCGGACTGAAGGTATACGACTAAAACTTTCATCGATCCACCGATCGTATCATGCAGAAATTAATCAGTATACAAATGTTAGCAGTTGTTGATGAGTAACAACTGTTGTTTTGAAGATATTTCGTTTGAGGAACAGGAATGTGGTCCAAAATGAATACTGTTGTATCTTGCCAAGCTTTCGGCTATTTTTAAGCCTTCAGGGTTCTACAATTTAATAAATATATATTACAATCACATCTCTTTTTTTAAACATGTATATAATTTTGCATTCTCTTGGACTTAGAAATACTCAGTAAGGGATGAACTGTTGTTTTCTTGTTGTGTATTTGTTTGCTGTTCGATCTTTCTTTTTGCTTATATTCATGTTGCCACAATAGCAAAATAAAGAACAAACTGGATAATCTGGGATGGTCAAATTGCTTGTATTCTACAGTAAATCCAGGGAAACTTCATTTTTTCTAGTATAGTCTAAATATCTCTTTTTTTCATCGCTGTAAACAACAGTCACAATGTTAGAAATATAAAATCAATTGATATTACATTAATTACTAATTAAAATTAGTAAAAAAGTGTATTTTTTAGTGACCAGCTATTTAATAATTCATTGGATTCGTGATGAGTGGTTAAGAATGAGATAGTTTGCAAAAACACCTTTTTAATTTTTTGCCGATGTTTCGACCTTTATTCAGGTTATCTTCGAGGCGTAAAATGTAGTGCTATCCTTATGGACTCAAAACTTTCACACAAGTTCACACAATATGACACCACAAGAATAGTACCACACTTTATGGCCTGAAGATTTCTGAATAAAGGTCAGAACAGAAAAAAAGATATTTTTCTAACTACCTTGTTTTTGAGTGCTCAGTGATGGAATTCATGATGTCTTAGGTGGTTAGATTGTCGAGGTACAGTTTCCCATGTGCGTTGACCTTTTTTTACCTCAAATTTTGAGTTCACAGAGTGCGTTTAACTCCCTCCAATATTTTTTTTAACGGGTGAATTTTTTGGAAAAATCTCGACACAAACTTTTATTTTTGTCTAATTTCTCATGAGTCAAAGAGTTTTGATCTACCTCCCAAGGATAATAGTATATGAATAGAAGCTTATCTAATTCAAAGCAAGATCAATGTAAATTTGTTAAAAGTTTTGTTACATTTAATTCAACATGCAAACTGTTTTAATTTGGACCGACCTTTCTCTCAAGTTATTCATAAAAAACTATTCCAGAAAAACAATTTGTTTATTTATCATTTTAATTGGTAGTGAATTAATTGTATTGCATGTTTCAAAACTTTGCAACTGTTTCCTCAAATAACATCAATTAACAGGATGTTCTAGTTGTACCTCATTAAAGCATGATTGAGCCTTGGAAAGCTTGGAAATTTTGTCCAATTTTCCCAACGTAAAATCATCTCCATTTTTTCTTGTTATGTACAAGATGATTTTTATGACATGCACCGTAAGTCAAACTGCGTAAAAACCAAACTAGTGTAGTGGTTTTTAAGATAAGTATTAACTATGGATTGAAACATTTCATTTTTTTTATTACTCAAAAACTTCAAGCGTCAAAAAGTTTTATTTTCAGACCAGATGAGGTGGTTGATTCAGTTCACTAAATGTCCATGCCACATACGTTTTAATTAAAAGCTTTAATTCTGTTTACATTCTCCTCACACTTTATGTCCCATATCGCATTAGTTTCATATCGAAACTTGCCATGGCAATGCTTTCTGTGGTGAACTCAGTTGATTCAAAAGCAACTGGTGTGAAGGATGAATGCTGAGCTGTGCCTTTTGAGTTAAACAGAAGTGGTTTGAACGGTTCTCAACAATTTACTTAAAATTATAAAATAAATAAATGATTAGGCTGAATAAAAGTTTATAAAGAAAGAAACGGATAACAAATGTAAAAAGTCCTGAAATTATGAGAACCGAAGAAGCTAAAATTGTGCGTTTTGCCCTATTTGCCATTGTCTACAGTTATCGATATTTTATTCATATTATACATTCCATTCATTTGGACTAGGCTGAATAAATAGTCTAACAAAAGAAACGATTAAGAAATGTAAAAAGTTCTGAAATTATGAGAACCAAAAAAGCCAGAACTTGGCATTTTGACCTTTTCGCCACTGTCCATAGTTATTGATATTTTATTCATATTATATGTTCTATTTGCCTAGACTAGGCTGAATAAACAGTTCATAACAAGAGAAACAATAAACAAACGTAAAAAGTCCTAAAATTAGGAGAACTGAAAAAGCCAAAACTGGGCTTTTGGCCCCTTTTTGCCCTTTCCCACAGTTATTGATATTTTATTCATAAATATATGATATTTGGCTACACTCCTCGACACTTGTCCATTCAATTAGTTGAATCAACTAACCACCTTGTCTGAAAGATGGCTTAATGAGCTTAAACTTATATTTGACTGTGTATTAGCAACAGGTAAGGCGGTCGGTACACCTTTTGTTGTCTTTTACAGATTTACATAACCAAGCAATAACACTTTTTTTTGCAGGATTACCTAACTTATTGTACAGTACAAGACCCGAGTTGTTTAACACCGGTCGGTTACAACAAGACAACTGTAGTATCTGTTTGGACAAATATAGGCAGGGTATCTGTCAATGCTGAAAAGTACAGTATCTTATAGTGTCAGATATTTTCCAACTTGATTATACATTTATAGATTTTTTTAAAGATACATGAAAACTATGGAAGCATTTCAACCCGATATGTACCAGATATTAGCGAACACTGACACAAATCTTGATTCGACTAGGAAAAAAGCGTTGAAAACCCTGCGATCATGTCAAATCATTTTTGACGAATGCATCAAAAGGCATCAAGAATCTGAAGTAATTATGTTTGTAGTAAATAATGTTATTTAATTAACTAAAATAGAACTTTTTTTAATAGAAACTAAAAAACTCTGGAGTTATTGGTGTTATCAGTGGTGGAATTGATCTCGATGTCAGGAAAGATCATGTTAAGTACATGCTTGAAAAGCCCGTCAGTGGTTTCTCGATTGAGGGTCTTCACAACAATGGAGCAGACGTTGAAAAAATGGACTACGAAAAGTGTAACATGGTCTTAGAAGAGATTTTGGTACTTGTCAAATAAATACAAAACTTCCATGTAATTCACTTTTAACATTTATTTAGTTTCATTACGGAATTTATTTCCAGAATATATTACCAGAAGATAAACTTAGAATAGTTCCTGGCTGTTGGAAGCCCCAGCAAGTATTAAAGATGGTGGAATTGGGTGTCGATATGTTCGATTCGTCATTTCCATTTATTGTTACTGAGAGAATGTGTGCTCTGACATTTTCTTGGAAATCCATTCCTTTGTAAGGTTTTATTGTATTATAAATAATTACATTTTCTAATTCAGTGGATATGTTCTTAGAGATGTAAGTGAAGTTCCTAGCCAAAATGTAGAAGAAGAAATCAACTTAAGAGACATTAGGTAAGATAAAAGTCAAACATGATTTTTTATATGATGTAATTTTTTGTTTTGTTTCAGATATAAGGAAGATTTTGGCCCATTAAAAAAAGACTGTACTTGCCTACCATGCAGAAAGCATACACGAGCTTATGTTTATCATTTAATTGAGAGCAAAGAACTCTTAGCATCCACATTGCTAATGATGTATGTTTTTTTTAATTACAAGTTATTATATTTTTATGTTAACTATAAATATATAACTATATATTTATTTTAACTATTATTATATTTTTTATTATATTTATATTATATTATTATGCTTGTATTGAAATAATTTATATTTTTAGGCATAATCTTCATCAGTATATTGAATTTTTCAAAGCAATAAGACAATCAGTTGGCCAAGCACAACGAATTTTACTTTATTAAGCCATTGTTTTATTAACTAAAGCACTTATTTTTGTAAATACACTTATTTATTATACAGAAAATCAAAATTGTTGTGTTTCCTGTCTAAACAAATTCATAAAACATTTGAATATAGATTGTGCAATTTAAAGACAGGATCTTGTTTTTGTGACTGCATCTACAAGACAATAGTCGGTTGATGGGACTAATTTTGTGTTGTGTTTTAAATGAAAACGAATATATTCAAATAAGGGGGAAATTCTGTTAAATGGGCATACCATTGTTATGCTTAATTGAGCAGTACTTTCATTTATTTTGTCAACCGAGAACAAATTAACTGCGATTTTTAAAAAACTTTCTTTTGGCTTTTTCCTTTGGAAATACAGTATAAGTAAAAATACAGAACTTAGGGGACCATAAAATTTTGTACGTTCTGAGCGGTGTATATCTGAACATTTCATCTAATTGATAGGCATGTATGTTTATAGCAGAGCAGTTTTTATTATATAAGTAACTATATAATTAGTAATTACATAATTTATCCAGGTTTATGATGAAGTACAAAATACATATTAACCTCCTACAGTAATTTATTTACATAAATGTTTTTAAAACATTAATACATATGCATGTACAAATGTGAATGGAGTTAGTTATTTGACTACAGTATCATTGTAGTATGTAATATGTTTCTTTTTTGGCCTGTATTTTTTTAAACTTTATGCGCTTATTAAGTTTAACTTAGTTTGATTATATTCTCTTTAATTTTCACAATGCCAGATATTTTGAAATGAGTCTGCTTGCACAATCTCCCAATCCAATCTATGAAATTATCGCAAATTTTTCCTCAACAGAAGAGGGTAAAGTCATGGTTTTTTATTTACTTATTTTTTAAAAGTTTATTTAGAGATCTTTTAAAGGCATTTATCATTAAAAAAATAGGGAAGAATCTTTTCTATAAGCTGGGGTTACTTTTACGTGCTCCGCTATAACTGATAGTTATATATAGTTCCCTATGTGTTTTCTTAACATAATTCACAGAACCGAAGGTTTTGTATGTTATAACCGATGTCTTTATGAACAATTTCTACTGTATTATTGCCATATGATTTTTAAAAATTATTATCATTATTTTAGTAGGTATTAGTTTTTAGCAGGTAGTTTTTATTTTGTTTCTCTACCTAAGCATAATGAGAAAGATTAGAGGTGATGGCTGCCTCCCTTCTTTTACTTTTCTCCGTCTTTATTCCATAAGGTTAAAGGTTTATTCCACAGAATTTCTTTTGCCTGCCTCCTGAAAACCACGGTTTTGTTTTCAGATTTTGGAATAAAGCTCGTTAATATTCGCCAGCTATTGCTGAGCTGTTAGTCTTTATTTCATAGATGGAATTCAATTGGTTGAAAAAAAAGTTTAATCTGTTTTAGGAATTTTTATCTGATGGGTACACCAGATATAGTGGCTGCCTTCGCCAATGCGTCTACCATACAATGAATACCCACATGACCTTAATCACATTTTGTCAAACATTTTTTAGCTCAGAGATCTTTTTGTAAATACCCACAATGATATGATTATGAAATTCACAGCTTGGGGTTACCTTACCCATATTATCTACAGTGCATCAACAGTCCGTTAAGAGGCAGAATCTAATTTCCTTCCTTCTTTTAATGTATTCAAGTGCTTTACCTATGACGGTCTGTGTAGACAGTGATTGAGTTTGTTCTTTATATTTGTTTTTGTAATAAAAAATGGCGCGATACTGCTTTAGTAAGACACAAAGACAACAAACAGTTCCAAATGTGACAATACTGAAGTATCGTTGATGGAACTATATGAACTAGATGAATACATGAAAAAAAGTAGCATACAAGTTTCACATAGATTGGTGATGATATTGAATGAATGATGCAAAAAAGTAAATAAATAAATCAGGCTTTGATTGAAAAACTTTCTGCATCTTTTCAAGTTTGTCACTGTGTAATCAACAACATGTTGAGCATATTTATAATTTTTATCAAATGAATCATTTACAAAAAAACAAACCCAGATTTGCTCGAGCCATGTCAGTGAACTAATATATATCATTTATAATTGTTCATTTTTATCTATATTTCAATATATGCTAAATAACATTGTGTGGAGTGGATTCTTTTTTGTTAGTCTGATTAAATTCTAATTATTTTATTAGGTTATTTTATTGATTCTATTTTTTTTCTCTTTTATTTCAATCCCATGTTTCTGTGATACAAGAGGGAAGAATCACTTTACAAATTAAAAAAAGGGAGATTTGAATTCAGAACAGCTAAAATGGCAAGTACAAATTGGATGCCCTAATCACTTGGCCACCCTGGTTCAGATCCTGTTATGTTTCTTGCGTACATTTATTACTTGCTGAAGGTTGTCGTTTTTGACGCCGCCTTTGACACAAATTTTTCATTTGGGAAAATTTTTGCACAATTAAGTATAAAGAATAAATTGTTAAAAAAAATAATAAAAGTTGGTATTTATTACTTGCTTATTTTTAAGGAAAATGTCTCTGTTTAGTTTTCTATTCTTACTTAAAACAATAATCTTTTCATACACATACTTGAAAGCAAAATAATTTAAAAACTAAGGAAAATTTTTTAAAGATTTTTTTGTTGTTGTGTGATTGTGTTAAGATGAATGTATAAATATGTTGGCCTTTTTCCCTAACCATCCTTCATAGCTGATCAATTGGTGATTTTATGTTTCAACAAATTCAACATTTTAATTATATTAAAATTAAATTAAAAACTCAAAGAGAATGCAATTTGAACTTGGCTGTTTTCTTTCAAATTGGCCTTAAGCCTTGATTTTTTAATACAAACTAATCAACATTTTAACACCAACCCTGGATATAAAAATTATAAAAAGGTCAAACTACGAAATTGGGAAAATTTGCTGGATATTTTTTATTGGGAGAGCTCCTATCCAACTCGAGAGCGGTCTTTTTTTAGTTTACCTCTTATTTTAAATTTTAACATTCTTTAAAGCTCGTCTTTTCAAATCACAACCTTGTAGGCAGAAGGCATCTTTACTTTGTTGATGGCATATTGCAAAACTCGAAATGAGGAACAAAGAGCAGAGGTGGGTGGGTGATGGGGCAATGTTTAATATTGATGAGGACAGTGGATGGCGGGGAAGATCCTGAAAGCTCACCTACTTACTAAGTTAGAGATCGATGACCTCATAGCATAATTTACTTTTTTAATGATTTGTATGGTTAAAAAAAAATTCTCAATTGTACTCCCGATGTGCAATAAAGTACCATATATTAATAATGCTGTAAAAGTTATACAAACAACAACAAATTAAACAAAAATACAAGTTTTAATGCTCACTAAATTAAGTTTTAAAAGCTAACATTTAGGTATAAACAAATTTGTATTTTGATTTGTAGTTCTTTTAGCATTTTGTTTTATTTAGTGGTTGGCCAGGGAAAAAAGCAAGGCAAGACAGATTCATTTCATGCACTTGCAATTTGACACAAGATTTCGAATATTTAAATGAAATGTGTGGTGATTAGTGACCGTTAATCGATATTTATTTTGAAATCGTGAGATGCGGTCTGGTGTGATGTAGATTTCAGAAAAACATTTTCTTTATCGTGCCAACGTTTTGATCTTTATTGAGATCATCTTCAGGGGCTGGGATGTACAAACATTGTTTACATATTACAATTACATTTTGGATGTGGAAAAGCGAATTTATACAATGCAAAATATATTTTATATATTTAATCAAACAATGTTTGTAAATCCCAGGCCTTGAAGATGATCTCAATAAAGAAAGAAACGTTGGCACGATAAAGAAAATGTTTTTCTGAAACCTACATCACACCAGACCGCATCTCACGATTTCAAAATAAAAATTTGGATGAAAGGTGGTGCCGGGCGACATGGTGAGTGGGGTTTTTGGCTGGTTGTGAGACAACACTCTTGGGTGTACTATGGGTAGTGTAAAACCACCTCAGTGTAAAGTCAAATTATATTTTAAAAAAGCATGAGAATTTCAGGGTTTGGTTAGATTAAATATTTTCTTAGAGTAAGCATGGATTGGTATGCCAAAAAGCTGCAAGTTTGATAAGTGTCCTCTCAAGATCTGCTAAGGTTTTCTGGGGCATTGGAAGTGACACCCTCAATTTTACATTATATTATAATAGCTATTCTGCCCATCTTATCATACTCAATACCAATTGAACAAAGCACTCCAAAGCCAGAAAAATGTTCGAAGACTAATGCTCATAATTAATATGTAGTAACATTTGAATGCCTGATGACTGTAAATTCTCCTTTGTGTTTTAAAAGTGGCTTACTGTTCAGAAAAATTGATAGCCACCGTGCAGAGTAAAATGCTCCTTGGACATCTAAAAATATTAACAAGGATTTTTCCTTCCACACAGTCTCTCACGGCCACTAATGCATCATCATGTCTGGGGTCTGAAAGCATATTGAGAATTGGATATCATGGATACTCAAGTTAAACATTACCCATTCCTACAACCCAGCAAGGGAATTGAAGCGGAAATGGCCCCGGGACCTCCTTATGAGTAGTTCATAAATAACAATGGTTGCTGGCTCCTCTCAAGATATTTGCAAATGATAAATATTGTATCACATTACTGTATGTACATATTTGTACAGATGGTTCTAAAAAAAATCAGTAAATAAAATGTTTTGATCACACCTTTCCTCTTTCGACATAAATTTGTATAATCTTTATATTTTCAGAGGGTTCTTGGATCAATCAATTGTTAGCGAAAAACGAGAAAATATTGGGTACACCGATGTAATGTTAACAATAATTTCAGCTTCAGCTTTTCTGCTATTTTCTACCATGCTATGCTTGTTAAATTGTTCTGGAATAACGTTTCAAAGAATAGTTCCAAAAACATGGATTCTGTTCAATTATTTTGCCAAAAGAAATGTGAAATTTTGTAAAAAAAAATGTAAGCGGAGACATCCTCCTGTTGAGCCGACATGATTCACTGACGAGTCGCGCCTATCTATCGCCTGCAGCGATTGATAAGCTGTGTCGCCCAACCGATACACCGCCGATAATTATCGGCGTCGCATCGCAATCGCGCTGGTGTGCTCTGGTTTAGTTGCAAGGAATACACGATGTAAGCAATACGGTGTCGAATTGCTTACCGCATCACTTGTGGAATCGCCTATTGCATCGCTCCAGTGGGCACCGAGCCTTGGACAATTCAGTGATTTTCAAAACCGCTTCTCAATTTTTAGTGATATTATTAGATTATTAATAATTACTTTATCGATTCTGTCAAGTGACGAAAGCTATAGAGCGTCCTCAGTTTCCGCCTTCTTTTTCTGAGCAACCAGCAACTGTGTGCACAGTAAAATGGGGGGGGGGCGTGCCAACAGCTAGTTCAATTCAGTACCCACTTTCATTCCCAAATACATTCACTTTCACTCCATCTATTCATTCAATCAGGGTGATGGGGGGGTGATCAATATTCCTCCATCACACTTTACACATTATACAACTAACCTAACTGAGGGTCGATGGTGGTACACGATATTCCGCCATCGACCCTCTCACAGCACACATTCACGCTAATAAATATAATCACTCTCAACACAAACTAGGTGTATACAACTATTATTACTATATACAACAGAACAACCCCGTTTCCTCCAAGAACCTGAACAGGGGACCCAAATACTCGCTGCCGAGCTCAAGCCCTATTCTCAAATAGGGTGGCATTCCTGCGCACTCTCTGTTTGGCACCAACGAATTGCACGTTCAATTAGTGGGACACATCGAGCGACCTTTCTCTGCATGCCGGACACATACACGGGCTTTGGCTCAAAAGTAGTGTCCATATGAATTACCTGTATGGTTCACAAAGTGGAGAATGAAAATAAACCTAACGAAAAGCGTGCAGATAAATGTGAGTGTAGTAGTATTTTTCCCACAGTGAGTATAAATGGAACCCCATTGCCTAGGACTGACTTTGTGCGTCATCTTACACTTTTAATAGATAAATTGCTGTTTTGGAATCTCCACCCAAGACTAAAAAGTATTAAAAAGTCTATTGACTTACGATCGACCTTAGATATTGAAAATAAACTTTTAATTTATAAGACAATGATATCTCGCACACTTGATAGCATCTCCAGTCGATTTAATGGTGTATTCTATGCTTATGGTAGCTATACCTATGTAGTTTCACGTTTACGTGTGCGAGAAGAACTAAAACCAATGATCTCGAAAGTATCGAGTTATGAATTCAGTTTTCTTAGGAAAGCGATATAAATTTCCAATGCAAATTGCACGAATCCATGCGTTGCATACAAGATATTTACTCCCACTTCAGAATATCATCGATGGGGCCAGTTCATTATTTTTAAAAATAAAGTTCTTATTTAAAGTCGTTTTAATAAAAATTGGTTAAAGAAACAGAATAAATGATTTCAAAAATTATCAGTTATTTAAGTACGTTTCAAAAGGATTTTCATTTAATAAAAATTAGAGATAGAACTCCAACAGATAACCTTGTTTATGTCTCAACCTTGTAAATATTTGTGAACACTCTTAAATAAAACGTAACAGCTTTTTTGTTCAGAAAACCGTACACACCTAGGGAAAGTCTCATTAATCCCGAGGTGAAATTAGAAATAATTAACATTTTTGTGCGCTTAGAGTTGACGGTGAATCGACTAATTTTATGTGAAATGTATGTAAACACATAAATGTTCTTTTTCGAATGGCTCATTAGTGCAAACAAAGGATAAATGAATTAATTTAAAGATTTGTCTTGTAAAAGACCCCGCTGTCAACCAGATGAACCATGCGCGATGTTCCTCAAAATCTATTCAGTATTGACATCTGCGGTAAAAGAACTTTCATCTTTTTCCTTTTACCATTTGTTAGAAAAGAAGTCCCTCCCCAAAAAACAAAAGGTCTTTGTAGTTAAAAACCTTTTGTTTTTTGGGGAGGGACTTCTTTGTAGTAAGTTGTAAGTAAGCTGTAGTTAAAAACGCTCCCAGAAGTAATAAAAGTTCAGTGTTAGAATTTTAAACCTTTTTCATTTTTTTACCAGGTTATTTCTACTACGAGGTAATATGAACCCTGGTGTTTGTGAAATTTTTTAAAATTAATTTTCGTATGTTAAATCTTGAATCTCAAGTTCTTTTAATCTGATTTCGACAATGGCAGAAGGCAAAAATTAGGAAAACATCACGTGCGCCGAGAGGTCGTGATGTGGCAAGTATCACTTGCTAAAAAGCTTATTATTTTAAGGTTAAATTATTCATAAGGTGCATTTTCGCGTTTTGCATAAAATTTGGTCCCACCTTGACCTTAATGCATAAAAGATAGCGTTATTCAAGTAAGATAAGATTATCCAATAGAATATCAGGACGACCACGATCGCATTTCTGATGAAGTACCAATTTAAAACAATTTACTAGTTTTCAAAACACCACAAGGACTTTTAAAGTAATGTAAAGTATTTCTGGTCATATAGCTTAACGTATAACTACCCGTTGGGTGTTGCGGACGAATATTTATTTATTTGTGCAATGTCCAGACAGGATACACTCCCAAAATAGGACAGTCATTACTGCATAGAAAATAAAAACTAAAAATAAAAGTAACTTTACATTTAATGTAATCATAGACCATGTATATTAATTAGTTAATCAGCAATAAATTAATCGTTTATACACATGTGACTGTGAAAGAATGGATCGCCAATATCTGATGATTCGTTGAGAATTCATTCCTAGGCGAAGAATACAGGCAGAAGACCCATAACGAGCTTTGTGAAAAGGTACGTGAAAGAGATTAAAGTAAAAGTTCCGATTCGGAGCATTCAAATGATAAGAGGAGACCACCTTAGGGGTACAAATGACACCAATAAGTACTCTCCAGCAAAAAGTGAGCGAATCAACAACTCTACGCAGTTTTAAAGAATCCAGCCCAACAGCTTTAAGTTTATCGCAGTAAGACGACCAGATTTGAATACTAAATATTACACAGCTTTACATTGCACTCACTCAAGTCTATCCACATCACATTGATTGACTGGAAACCAAATAACACTGAAATATTCCAAATGGCTTGTAACGAAGGACTGATAAAGGAGATTAATTGCGAAGGGATTGGTGAAGTCCGCAGTCATTCGCCTAGTAAAACCAATATTCCTGTAGGCTTTTTCGTGATGGCGTCAAAGTTGTCTCGGAAATCACAGTTGGGGTTGAAAATCACTCCCATAATCCTTCTCTTAAACAGTTTTAATTCATCATGCTGCGCTATGACTATTTTTAACAACCCCAGTAACATCATTAAAGATCAAAAATAAAATTGATGTGGTGCGAGCCCTGAGGAACACCCGAGTCAGTACGAACCACATCAGAAAGAAATCCTTTATACGAGACAACAAATGATCTATTAGCCAAGAATGACTCACACCAGACTATTAAGGGATGCCAGAGGCTCGTAGTTTTTCTACAAGAATATGTCTATCCATCCTTTCGAACTCTTTTGACAGGTCATTGTACACCCAATATACTGTTGTGGTGGTACGCGCCTTGACAAACCTGATCAATCGACACAAAGTTCTTATAAGTTTATAGAGAATGAATCAGAAACAAACGACTCCGTGATCTTTGCAATAGGAGAACATTTGCTTATATTTGCTAGAAAAGGTTCGGTTATTTGCCTAGGCATGTATCATCGTGTTTCAACAGCTGCGGGTCAATGATTCAGTTGGGCACACTGAATCGAGCAGTTTTGATTTTTCCTATGTTGTTTAAGTGCCTTGAAAACGTGCGCTTGTATTTGGACATTCTCTGATCGTTAATAAGGTATTCTTCCATAATATTCTTGACGACTTGGTTGCTAATTATTGTTGGAGGTCTTCCTCAGAACCGGTTTTCCAATTGCGAACCAACGGCGAATCGTTCTTTAAGACCCAAAACACACCGATGACCTTTAAGTCAAAACAGCCTGATACCGCTCTTTTTAGGGTTTGATTGCGTCTGAATACGCCTGGAGCATCATAAATCCAACCGCAGGCAAAACATATTTAATCATTTGTGAAATGTGGTAGTGAAGACTCTTTTCGTTCTACTGTTTGATAATGCGACAAATTACAATGTTATCAAGACTTCTCTGGAAGAACACCCAAAATCAAACTAATAGAGGACTCATTTTTCATTCACCCTTTCAAGATAAATAAAGAAAATTGGAAAAAGTCAAAAAGCTCGATTTATGGGTACCTGATGAGCTCTTTCCTGGCGGCAGTTGAAGCACAATTAGACATGCGTTTCGTTGTCTGGGCAAACCGAGCCTTTTTTTTTCAAAATAATAATAATTTGTCATTAAAAATGAATTGCGAACGCCATTTAGGTCGGTCAAAACAGTGGTTCGAAGACAGGACATGGAAAATCAAAACTTGCCCTCGAAAAACACAATAATGATGGTCAGTTCAGGTGAATCCATCAATTCTACAACTTAATGATTTGAACTTGAACTAATGTATAAAAAACGTAGCAAAAAACCAATCTGCATTGATAATTCGGAAGCGTCCTGAAC